CTGTTAATCACTAATATGTGACCTCTGCTCATTACTTAAATGTGACTTCTGCTCATCACTGTATATTTGACCACTGTTCATAATGGATTTATGTGACTTCTGATCATCAGGTTTATTTGATCCATTTTTGTGTGGAAACCACAATCACAACATTTGCACATTTTTTTCATTTTTGATTTTAACCTAAAATACTGCTTGTCAAGTGGCTTTCTATACAAAACACCCTTCAAAATTTGTGTGAAAGAAGAGGGGCAAAAAACATTTCTAATTCGAAACTCTAGTAGCCTTTAAATGATAACGTTTATCCTTTAGGGGATGTGAAGCCTACCTTCTGAAAACAGTACCCCACTGGAGCACCTTGCTCTTGGACTTTTTAAAGGTGCAATAGATTGAACCAAGTGTCAGTGGAGTGTGGATTCCCAGTAACACATATCAACCGCTTTTATTAATTTCTTATACAACTCAAATAAAGTTGACATGCTAAGGGATAAATGGAATTTATCACCTGATCATCCAGAAAAGAGCTTTAAACTGCACCTTCTTCAAATTTCTGATCTACTTATCTGCCCCATTTACACACAGCATGAAAAAGCAAGCAGAAAAATTAGTTCAAATATCATTTTTCAAGGAATATGAATGATGTGATTTGTCATTTCTCTGAGTTATACTATTTAAAAGTACATGGTGGCATTCGGTCGGCTTTTGTGGCAAAAAAATTGCCTCCACATGCATCTTTAATGATTATTTTGGATCATTGTCTGATTTTTAGATTTTTTCTTTTTGTAATCATTATGGTTTATGCAACAATTGTTTTAATTCTTTTTAAAAGGAGACTTTTTAGGATCTGGTAAATATGTTTGAAATAATTTTGCATGTAACAAATAAGCCTGAGGCTGTCAGAAGGAATTGTTATTCTGGAATGATAATCTTTTTTAACTGTTAACAGTGCTAAATGCTTGTGAACTCAAAGTGAACAAATAAAAATACTGATTCTTTTTTTTACTGCCCTAGGTTGGTGCATTTTAATGTTCAGTTCAATATATTGCCAATGATTCATCTTCTGACATTACAATGGAATAATGACTGAGATTTCCGGTGTTGTCAACAAACCATAATTTTTCTTTTGATTATTTGGAATGACCCAGAAATTGAAGTAATGGCATGCAGATGTGATGGGATCTGCATATAAAATAGACTTTATGGAGTTTTGATACAATTTTGCATGCATAAACTTCCCCAAACTAATTCTGAGGTATGTGCTAAGAACAGCCCAACTTCTGGCTGCCATTTTTCTATATTAATATTTTCAAACCGTTGATTGCATGTACTTCATAAAGCTTAAATGTTTGTGTGTATGTTTCGTGTCAAGGATGGATCAATAATTTTACAGGTTTTGAAAGAAAGCCTTAAGCCCAGAAGCATTAAAACATTGACTACAAAGATTAATTGGCTACTCTGTGTGGATGGAGATCAAAGTAAGACGAAGTTGTCTTGATGAATTTTTACTTTACAATTGGACGGTCAGAAAATTTACAAGAAAGGAAGCCATCAAAGGAATAGGATATTTATTCATAATTATGTGCACAAATTCCAGTCTTTTAATGGTGTTTTTGATAGACTAATTGATTCCTCTAGTGGCTTTTGCTTTTCATTATTTTGATCTTTTCATCATCAGGTGTGTATATGAAGACTGGCCATTGTTTTAAAGGGCATATGGTAAAAACACTAGAAATATACGTATGAATTTTGTCAAATTCTAGATGTTAATGATAAAACCAATTATAACTGGGTTGCTCTATATAAAATGTGTTATATACATTAGTGTGCCAGCATGTGGAATATGATTGAAAAAATAATGATGGTATTTTCATGATCTTGTCACTGTGGGATATCATAAATTAACTGAATTTTAAAATTTGAAATGAGGGCATAACATATTTAGAGGAAAATTATGCTGTTGGTTGAAGCAAGCCTATGAAACAAATGTAATGAAATTGAAAGACAGAAACCGGAGCATTTATGGTTTTATATATTTTTTTCAATCAAGTTGAATTGCAGATAGATTAAGTGCAGTTGTGTTTCTTTTTTCATCAATCAATTTTTAATATCCCCTGGAGTGAGATATTAAGTCGAAGTAAAGTATTATGACTAAAGTGAAATGCAATTCAATAAAATTGGGCTGGAAGACTGAGAAAAGAAAAGGTATGGATAATTGATTGGATGATCTCCAATAGTTAATGTACATGAGTTTTTCGATGACCGCAGAGATTGACACCCTCTTGTTTCAATCTTGTCAGCACCACATGGCAGATATGAAATATCAATAGGACTTGATCTCCTATTCAAGAAGCTTTTCATTGTAAATGGTTATTTGATACACAGGGATTAAATTCTCAGGTTGATTTCTTCAAAAACACCTGAAATAATAAAAAAAGAGTTGGACTATGCATGACCCTGCCCCTGTGACAGCTACATTATCAGCAGGACAATAGAATTTCCAGGAAATCCTGTCACTTTTTATGTAAGAGAAAGCAACAGGAGCTCTGTGATAAGAAGTAATAAGGGCTCATTGCAGCCAGGGAGCTCTTGATCTAATTAACACTTGTCTGCACTATGGTGTTAATACAGGAGTTTGATGCAGGTGTGTGTTGGGATTGAAATAAAAACGTCACTTTTTATGTCAGAGATGTTTAGGAATGCATGATTTACAAATTAACACAAAAAAGTCTCCATGTGAACAGTTGGAGTGACAGAAAAATAAATTTACTCTCAAGAGTAAAATTTCATTGAGAACAACAACTTGGTTTTAAATGTACCATATAGTGATTTTAAAATCTCTTACTTATCTATATAAAAAAAGTCTCCATGTGAACAGTTGGAGTGACAGAAAAATAAATTTACTCTCAAGAGCAAAATTTCATTAAGAACAACAACTTGGTTTTAAATGTACCATATAGTGATTTTAAAATCTCTTACTTATCTATATAAAAAAAGTCTCCATGTGAACAGTTGGAGTGACAGAAAAATAAATTTACTCTCAAGAGCAAAATTTCATTAAGAACAACAACTTGGTTTTAAATTATGTATCATTTAGTGATTTTAAAATCTCTTACTTATCTTGATTCCTTTCTCTGTCAATAGTCAAAACTTTTTGTTCACCAGATGTATAAGCGGATACTTTACTAACTGTCTATATGTGATGAAATCAACAAATAGATTTGCATACATACATATATATGGAATTTGAAGTCTAATAGTGGTGGCCTAATATATCAAGTATTTGTACCAATATTTAGCAATATCAATATGTGTACCAGTGTTCCAATTAATTTCAGTGCCAATAGAATAACAATGTAGATAGCTAGTGGCCAGCAAATGAGCCCCATTATTAAGTAATCATCAAATAAATGTCCAGTATTGATTGTGCAATAAAACAATTATTGGCCATGGTCATCTTCATTAGGCATATGTTGACAAATGTCAGGGGCAGTTTCAAAGTTATTTCATTAACCTCTCCACTGGGAAGGAATGTTCTCAAAACACATTTCAGCATATTGATCAAATTGTAAAAAACTTCTAAGAGAGTTGGAGATAAACAAAATTCTTACATCATTTCGATTATTGAAAAGAAAGTGTTCATAGAACCTGCTCTCATTATAGAAGAAATGAATTAACATTTATAAAACAGAATTTGAGGAGAAATAACTTTTTTGCAGTCACTTTATGATGAGTGGCTGGCCTCATGAATAAACTTTTCATTGATATAATACAAATCCTTTATGAATGTAATGGCATGAAGTACATGTGATGGTCGACCATCCTCCAGTCTAATGGCTTCAGAATGGGTCACAAGTCTAGACCACCCCCCAGGCCACTTCCTCTTCCTTGACTCAGTCAAAACTTAGTTTGTTTAAAAAACTGAGAGTGCATTCTGCTTTTTAGTTGACTCGGGCCAACACCAATGGGCGACTTGCTGTCTCCCTCTCACCTTACATACAGTTTACTTAAACTGAAGTCACAGGGTCATTTCCCAAAATATACCCTCAGGACAGTCAGTTTACAGATTATTAAAAGGTTTCAGAAAGATGATTTTACTTACATTATAGCTTATCAAAGGTTGCTCCATTATTTCTGGTGATAGTTCGATACCATATCAATATTTTTAACAAGTTGGTCTGTGGCATCTTCGAACATATGTTATAAAATTTTGATGATGTTTGGAGTTATCTGGTATTACCTCATTTGTAACTGTTTATGAAAAATTAATGTTAACCAGGCCAAAAACACTTTCTTAATTATGTTTGAAATTTTCGTAAGGGTGGGTGCCCTTTTCTTTTTGTACATATATACATAATAACCATATTTAACATAATATGCGTACATTAGTAGACAGGATACCACCATTTGTTGTTGTAATTGTTTCACATGAAGAAATTTGTAAGAAAGCCCTTGTCATGATGTTTTACTTTCCACTTCTGAAATTGTAGTTTTATATAATTTACTTACAAAAATTTATCCATATGAAAGTATGTACATATCATAATTAAATTTGCAGATAAGGCTTAATTTTAGCAATGTCATAACCTGGAGAGAGATACATTTCACATCGGCTTAGTAATTTTTTTAAAGTTTATGTGGTCTTTTCTTGGGGCTTGAGCCATGAGGACATCTGTCAGGTAGCCCAGCTATGAACTGTCACTGACCTAGCAATGTCAACGGTTTTCAACCCTCAAGAGATGTCCAGAAGTGCAAAGCAAGGTGACAGATAAAAGGAATAGGCAAGATTTGCATGTATGATTTTATGTACTTCTACGAAATGTTAACAGTTTCTTGCCTGTTTTTTATGTGTTTTAATCAAGGTAGAAATCCTGTTCATCTCAAATGATTTTTTTAATTGCTGTTTTTGATGCACAACTTTGAACTGTAATGCTTGCATCTATATCACAGCAAAACTCTTTGACAGATTATAATCATCCATTAAGGATTAGTGTTGTACTTACATTATCTAGGTGATTGATAGGCCAAGTAATAGCAATATCCCAGGAACCATCAGGTGTAGGCTGCTGTCAGTATGACAGAGGGGATATAGTCACTGTGTCCCTCCTCCCCAGCTTGTCTGGCACACAAACACACACACACTCACACACCAAGGCCAGTCTGTTGTGCAGCAGATCACCCTGACAAGTGTACTCTGCTAATTGTATCAGTCACACCCTGACCTCTGCTCCATGTAGTAGAATTTGGTAAACTCGATAATGATTAAATGGCATTAATTTAATTTGTAGTCCCCCTGGCTACTCCGTCAGCTTTGTGTGGTGGTCGTTTGGGGTGAATTTTAATGATTTATCAAACAGCCAGACCCTTCTGTTCTCCATACAGATGAGGTTGGAGTTTTAAGCAGGTGTGTTGGCTCAGCATGGATGGAGTGCTGTTGATTTGACCATTTTCTATAAAAAGAACAATGTTGATCTTTTTCAGCTGTGTTTAATCAAAAAATAAAAAATAGAATATTAGAAGCATCTTTTTTTTTTAAATCTGGATACCAAAATTTGAATTTGACTAAGAAATAAGTTTGCAGTACCCATTAAGTCAAAAATGTCCTTTTCTCAACTATGCAATGAAAAAAAAAATGTATATATGTAAAATAATGACAATATATTGAAATAACATATACACCAAAAAGAAAAGTATCTCATAAAGAATGTCAGTGGTCTGACATAATATTACAAAACTGGAAAATCCAAACTGTGCAACATCTTTATTACTGTGGTAATACACCATCAATAACTAGCGACAAAATCAGTATACGCATCTGTGAAAAATTTATATTTCATCAAAAGTTTTAGACATATATATTTTCAAAACAATGAAATGTTTAAAATGCTGCAATTGTACAGATGTGTTTCTCCAAATGCCAAGGTTAAACAGTAGGTGCAAGATTTGCAGGCTACCCTCGATTGCCCAACTCAGGAAGAGAAGAGAACAACATTTAATTGCAAACTAATCAAGGTTGTTCACTGCGGGCCAGGTTAATTATTTGACAATGACCATTTCTCCTTAGGGTAAAATGAGACTGCAAATTTGATGTTCCACCTGGCGGGTATGTGGAGGGACGGCATTAAAATTCAGCTGGAGTAAGAACAGTTGGTTAGCAAAAAGCAAGCTATCAGCACAGCAGTTCAGGGCATGGTTTGTAGTCTACTGCCACCTGGACTCTGTATTTCTAATAGTTTATAACTTGGATTTGTAGCACTTCACAGATTTTATTATTTTATCAAGAGCTGAACAAGACTTGCCAAAATTACTGGCCAAATTGGGATGGAGTTGTTTATAGCCTGCTAAGTGCATTTTATATTAGTTCCTAAGTCACACTGGAATATGTTTTTAGAGATCTTTTCTCTGCTGGCTTTAAGCGATAATTTCTCTGTCAAAACCACCAAGTTAGCTGAACATGAAATGAAAATCAAAAAGCGTTGCACATCAAGTTACTAATGATGATGTCTTGCTGCATCCTTTTGACAAATTAGCTTCATTTTAGGCAGCAATGGCATATATAAACTGCTGATCTAAGCAACATCTTCTGCTGTGAATTGACAATCAATGCAAAACTTTTATTTTTTTTTCAATGCAATTATTGTAATATTTCTTACTGCGTGGTTTTCACGTATGACTTCTCAGGCAGAAAGACGTGCACCTGTTGTCACCTTGTTTGCTTGTTGACAAGTTTGACGGGATTTTTATTTATTAAAATGTCAAGTGTCCATTTTGACATTGATATCTATTCAATTTTCATATAGTTATTTAAATAAGGGTATTTCCTGAGTACAACTAAACTGATGCTAGATACCACCTTACATCCCAGAGATATGTACCTTATTTTTCTTTTCTTTTAGTGTAATTTAAGAAACAATACTTACAAAATTGGTTGTAAATGTATCACTGACAAATAATTTCTTCATTTTGTGTGAGAGCTCTTTATACTTAATGGGAGCTATAAAAAGAGAGAGTTGTGTTTTTTTCTTCTTGATAACCACCTCATCCTACCTAAGTATTCTGACTTTTTCCTAAACTAATGAAAGAATACTTAGTTTTGTCTTACTTGTCCATTATACTGACTAATGATCTGCTTCTGTTTTAATCCCAGACTTTCACACAGGAATTAACACAAGTCACCACATAAATAAAAATGAACTTCACCAACCAAATGATTATCTGTGAAATCGGAAGAGGATAGGAAAGCCAGATCATTTATGTCTCATCAATAAAATATCTGTATTTCTCTTTCCTGTAACGGTTTTAATCTATTTCTTGTTCATAGGTCAAAAGAGTTCAGCACATTGCTGTAATTACAGGAGGTGTTTGCTTGCTCATCAGAACTTGTTCGTCATAATGTTTTTATTGAAATAAAGAAGACACAATTCAATTCTGTTGAAAAACATATTTGATTTTAAGTGTTAAACATGTGGAGATGTATAAAGTGTAATTGATAACTCCTCACAGATTGACTGCTCAAATCTGTCTTGATTTAGCTGATCATGAAAATTAATATGATATACAGAATACCAGGAAGTATCAAAATGCTCTTTTGGTTTGTGCTGGAAACTGCATGCATCTGCCTTTGAAAAATGTGGAATAAATGTCATCTTGATGGGGAGGCTTTCCTGATGCCTGCTCTCTGATAATGAAAAAAACCCAATTTGTTATTAATTATCATCTTGTTCTAAAATGTGTATGTTTGTTCAGTAACATTATTAAAACTAAAACCCATCTGAATTGATTGTTTAACACAAAGCAGTAGTTGGAACCAAGAAAGTTGGTTGTGCCCCCCCCCCCCCCATCTTCCATTTCTCGGCGCTTGCAATCCCCAATATATTTTTTCATTATGCACATTATCTATTTTATGTGTAATCATAAACTTGTGAACAGTAGAACTCAACAAGTTAAGTTTGTTTGCTAAAACTGTTGTAACTGATGTACAGCCTCTTTTTTAGTCATTGGACAGTTTTCTTTCTTTTATTGATAGCAAAAAGTCAGGTGAGATGGACGTCTCTTTTAACCTAATACCAGAAACTAAAGTTAAAATCCCTGGACTCCTGAATATTTTATTTGCAACCAGCCTGGGTAAAGGGAGAAGCATACAAACAAGGTCTGTGTTTATAAAGGGAAGAGTCTAATACAACAGTTGGTTTAGATAGCTTTCCTACCTGAGTTATGTAATATCTGTTCTATCTTGGTAAATATGGCAGACCACTAGTTTGTAGTGGAGTTGAGCAGATTACTTGGATAAACCCCCTGGGCTGTGTTTCCACCCAGTGATGAGGCTTTCTGTCCCCTAATCACACATGAGCCCACAGCATACATGTATTTCCAGACTACTGGCAATGCAGACTGACGCAGAAGAATAGAAAAGGTGTGGGTTTTAACTTAAATTGAGGACACAGGCAAGGTGCAAAGTATTGAATTAAACTAGGATGGAGTCTGAATGTTGATTAGACTTTTTTCCTGCTGTGGCTGTTTCTCACCTTGCTTGTCAGAACCTGTTCTCAGCGAGGCTGCTTAAAACTGGGAACAGTCTCAGTGACATCATCAGGTGGCCATATTACAAAGAGATCATGGTGTGGTAGAACTTGTTTCAAGCAATCTTTGTAGGCAGGTGGCACCAGACCACCTCTGGTTTAAGTTAGACTAGTTGTGAACAAGACAGCATTTTTTTTTTTCAGTCATGTTTTTCGCTTGCTGATACGCTGTTATATATGGTGGGCAGGAGAAAGTTTTAAGCATCCTGGTTCTGTGAATAAAACAAGTTAATGATGAAGTACTTAGGTCACTGTCCATAAATCTTAATCAGTTTGGTTTTTTTCCTTTTAATCTAATGTAAAGGATGTGCATTGAAATCAGCACAAAAGTTAAGTTTGCTCCCTCCCCCTCCCTGAATCCAGTTTCTGTATATCATACCTATTACAGCTTAGTTTGATTATTGACATTTAATTCATTATCCATAATGAGAAATAAAGCCTTTATGATCTATCGTCCCTATAGCAGCTTCAGTATGTTGGAAAAATATGGAAATGACTCATTTGGTTAGAACTAGTAATTATATAGCAAATTTTGTTTAGCACCAGACTTTGATGCTAAAGTAGCTTAATTTGCTCCCTGTATTCAGCCAAGTTGCTGTGAGTTGGATAGTCCCCTTGGGCGAGTTGTAAGCGGCATTCCAAGTGGCAAAATGGCCTATCCCTTTTGTTAACTACTGGCTAGATCAAGCCATTCTGTTTTCCTAGAACAACCCTTAACACTACTGAATTGTAATTTATATCCTCCTAGGAGCTATGAGCCCTGACATTTCATTTTTTAATGATTCTGCTTCAAAGAATGCACTCTTGGTTTCACTGACAAATGATTGTCTTATTAAAGGTATACATATTCTCTGCAGTCACCTCAAGGCTTCTAAATCTCTTTTACACTCTTGGTTTATGTGGCTTTCCTGTTAATTCTAATATTGGAATGAAGCCGTTTTTGTTAAACAATTTATAGTTTGGTATAAATTCTTGGACTTAACTGTGTGTTTGTCCTATTTTCATTTGTTTGCTTTGTGATAAGATACATATGACATATAATGCTATTATCTGACTGGATTAATTATTTAAGGATCATAAAAAATTCTCTTGTATTTATTTATAATGAAGAAAAGACTAGTTGTTTCAGTTTGAAAATCACCCAAAAATGGTTATAAGATGTGTGTTTAGTGAAAAATCTGTTTCACAGGTAACAGGTCTAATTAAAAGTATTTGCCAAGGGTAGCGGCAATAATATTTTCTTCTAAGTAATTTCCACATGAAAAAAGTGTAAAGATGTTGCAACGAATCTGGCATATTTAAGTTTAATATGACCATCCGCCAAAGCACCTGTGAAAAATATTTAAAGTCAACAGATTCAGGTAGAAAGGGGGTATGAAACTGGTAGATTATCTCACCTGTAAAAACTCAGCCCAGGTAGTAACAGCTTTTAGTGCCTGAATACCACAGGGAGAAATTCTGAATATAAATTTAGAAGAAAGATAATGCTGGAATGTCTGAAAGATACACTGCGTAACAGCAGGAAATATTGACATCCAACTGTTGCACTTGTTGCTAAGATGATATCTTGCAAAACTTTAGATGAGTAAGTTATTAGTAAAGCCCCTCCAGAAACAGTTTCAGTTGGTGTCTTATGTAATAAGATACGTAAACAGTTTAATTTTTAAAATGATTATTCTCTGTAAGTGTCTCTATAGATTAACTCTAGGAAAATGTAGATTAACTGTGCAATTGATAATTATAGGTAACAATCTGCTGGGTATTCATCCCCACCTTCTGTAATTACCACATAATCTTACCTTGGCAGAGGGACTGTGGAAATCTTCTTTCTCCCCGAGTAGCTTCCCTGCAGCCGACACCCTGGTAGATTCTGCAAAGGTGGTTTTCGCACTTAAGTTTATAACACATAAGAGTTGGTAGTCTTTGAAAAGGTTGAAATTTAATTTTCTCATTTAGCATTTAGTGGTGTCTTAGACTAGTGAAAGGTTAAGCTGGGGAAATTTCTGGCCAGGAATTTGCAAAAAATGCCACCTGAATTTAGCATTCTTGAAAGAGCAAGATGATTTTACCTATTTACGAAATTCATGTTTGGCAGCAGTGTAAATGATCCACTCGATACTTCGCAAGGTTGAATTTTAGAAGAACCTGTTAGCAGTATTTAATATTGATGGACTAGGTAGTTGTTTACAGAGGTCTGCAAAATGTTTTTGAATGCTAAAATTCTTTCACATTGTCATAAATCCAAAAGATATAAATATAAAGAATTGTTATGGTAAACTAACCCTTTTTTTGTTTAAAGTTGATTTTAAGTAAAAAATGTAAAAAGAAAATTATAATGAATATTCAGTATTAACCTGTATTTTTTATGAAAAAGTATTCAATAAATGAATGTGATATTTCACTTTTAGTATAAAATGACAAATTAAAAAACTGTGCTTTTTTTTTTGTGCAAAATATTTAAATACATTCATTTTTGATAGGTAGACCTCAACTTTGCACGAGTTTTCTACCCACCCAGTAGTCTCAAAATTTACCTGTAATTTATGTGTAAGATTGAAGGCAGACAGCCAGGTAAAAGATTCCCAGCCAGCTGGTAAACAAGTGGTAATCAGAACAAATTAAATCACTAATTATAACTAGATGATGAGTGTTTTTGCACCAAGGGCTTCTGCTTGGTCAACTTTTTTTCCCAAGTGGACACAGGGTATTTTGGTCAAGTTTAGAGTTTATAATACCAAATGGGATGTTTTTGCAATGGACTATCACAACTGCTGTTATATGTATCTCAACTTCTTAACCCTGTTTATTAAGTTGCTATATTCTAGAAACAGTCCATGTTAAGTGGGGGCACATGTCACTTATTGCTTAGAGTATGTGGTGGGCCTCATATTTTTAACCTTTTTATTTAAAGTTCTCAGAGTAATTAACAGAAATATGCAACACATTTTCTTACATGTTTATTCTTTATTGAATAGAATTGTCCAGAGCTGGCAAGCATGTTTCACGATGATGATGGAGGGTGTTTTTTTTTTTTTCAGAATCGAAGGAATAAAATTGGATTCCCATAAAACATGTATTCTGCATACATTGCCTATTATTTACATTCTGTTAGTAATGAATGTAATTTCTGTTTAATACACCTATTAGCATGTCCAGTGTCCCATAAGGCCAATGGTCAGCTGTATGCCCAGTGGTCACCTGTATAGCAAGAGAATCAAATTCCACTGATACAAAATATTTCTTTGAGGTAAGAAAGGGAAGGATAAAGTATAGGATAAATTATGATAATAATTAAGAATAAAAAAGAATATCCTAAATAAGCTGAAGCTGTGGTGACTGGTTTTGCTTTGATGACTGAAAGATAAAGATGCGGATGTTGTTTTGTTTGAAGCACCCTACAGCAATTGTTTGAGTCAATCCCACAAGATAACATAATTTTCAGAGTTTACACTTGGTAAAAGTTTAGTTTAAATTCCTAAGATTGTCAAAGTTAAGTTAGAATTGTGCAATTCTTTTAAAATTTGTCATTTGTTATGATAGTGCTTTAAATATTTTAAATTTTACTAATTTAGTGAAATGAAGTAGAGTTGCGATGGATCCATATCAAACTTGGGTGTTTTTTTTGTTTTTTTTTTAACAGGATTAGGTTCTAAGGTGAAGCATGAGCAGCACAAAGATGCTTGCTGACTCCACTCAGTCAGAATTGGCAGCAGACAAGAGCAAGAAGAGGAGAAAAGCGACACCTGGTGGCAAAAAGGAAAAAAAGAAACTGAAGAAAACCTCTGGCAAAAAGAAGGTTAGCTAATGATGTTATGGAATACTTTCCCTAATTTCTGTCAAAATTATTTATATAAATAAATTTATAAATTGTGAATAAATATAAGGCTGATGTGTTGCATAGGAGCTGAACTCGTTTTACTGATATCTTTCCTATGAAAAATATGTTTTTACATACCTAATCCAGTATGAAATGTTTTGTCTTTTTAAAGTAAAAGAGCCAGCAAGTTCAACTGTTGGTCACAGGTTTTGAAGTCTTTGGGTGTCTTCTTTGTGTCATGCACTAAAAGCACACTTGACAGTTTTCTAATTTGAGTTCATCTTTAACACACGCTGAATTAGCACTTAACACAAAATGTCCACTCCATTCCATCAAAAATCAATGAAATTTAACCATACAGCCATTTAGTTGTAGGATTTCCACAATTTCTTGTTGGGGTTCCTTGGAGATTGATATAGATTTTTAAAAATGGTCCATCAATTTTATTAGAAATCTGGAATAAGAAATGTTTTTTATGCAACATTTCGACAACTTGAATAATTTTCGGGTGGAAAGTGAGGTGAAAAGTGATAGTACAGTTGCTGTCTTTTTTCAGAACCAGTTTCTTTGTTGTTGCCATGGCTATATTAGAGATGAAATCACTCAGACAGAGCACTGTTGTTGGAAGCATGTTTAAAATAGCATTTGTTCCAGCCCTAAATATCTGTTACTTTGTCAATATCATAGTTTACGATTATGCACAGCAAGTCCTGGAAAATATTCCTATCTTTTAGAGATAACTTTAGAACATTTGAACACACTTTGACCTTCTTGTGAAGTGCATGAGGTACAACCATTGCACGCAAGGTCAGTTTTGATATTCAATGCAAGCATTTGAAATTTCTATGAATTTATCATTTTTTTTTGTCGTTTTTTTGCTCTGAAGATAATATAAGTTATATCTTTTTTCAAATTTCACCATTGTTTAAAAATATGATTTCATGTAAGATGTAGACAACTAAATGGATTTGGCCAACTAATAGCATGCTAAAGGATGTAAAATATTTCCTTTAACTAAGATCTCCTTTTTCATGTGAAATATATGACAGTGGTTAAAAGGTTGACATGGAGAGTTTAGCATCCGTTTCTATGTAACCTTATGCCTAATACTTTTCAAGAAAAAGATAAACACTAAGGTATCAACCCTATTAACATTTGTTTTAAAAAAAAAACTTAGAAAGGTTGATAATTGATCTGGAACATTTTGCCTTTCAAAAGAACAAGACCTGCATTAGAAACACTGTAAGGCCTAATTATTATTGAACTGGTCATACAAAGTTTTTATAGAATGAACCTTTGTTGACCTTTCGACTTCTTTGATAGTCAGATTTTATTATCAGTTTTGCATAGGATGGATATTTACAACTCAGCATTTCTTTTTTTTCATATATATTCATGATTTATTTAATATGATTACTGTTAAAATATGAAATTACCAATTAATGTAGTTAAAATGTGGCAAAACATACCTCATTTTTCTGTTTTTTATTTAATGTATATATGGGCACAGAGAACATATATTCAAGATACTACTTTATAAAACATTTGTATGTGAGAAATGTCCTTCAAATAAGGCATATCTGTTTTTGAAAGGAAAAGAAGAAGACAAAAGGGACCGAAAGTGACCCAGATTCGGACCTTGACCTTGATAAAGTTGTCCAACCCATTGGCTTCTATATCAAGGACAGAGAAGAAATGGTGAACCAGATGTTCAGATCTGTTCAAGGAGAAAAGTTGAGAAGTATGATACCAGATATCTTAAAGGTATAATGTGATGTGGTGTGTGGAATCATAATTGCAGGGTTTTATGTGCAAATGCCTCATGTATAAAATCTCCTCTCTCTTTCAATCACACACACACACACACACACACACACACACACACACACACACACTAGTCATTCATTACCTGTAACCAGAATCTCAGTGGTTATGTATGGTATTTCTTTCTCTTTCTCTCTCTCTCTCTCAAACACATACACACACACACACACACACACACACACATACGCATGCACACTCAGTCAATACCTGTAACATGACCAGAATTTGTCAGTGGTTATGTATGGTATTTCTTGTATGAGCTTCTCCACACCTGATGCAACCGTGCTCTGCACCCCCCCCCCCCCCCCCCTCCACCTTCAGCGGCACTAATAGAATGAGATAAGTATTAAAAGATCCCCTGTAAATTGAGTGTGCCAGGTGGTTTGATGTTCATTTAATGTCCTTTTGCCAATGAATTTGCCTGGTTCAAATTCGTTGCAAAAAAAAATCCATTTCTTGATGAGTGTCTTCGAGTAAAGAAATGATTATCCTTTAAACTTAAAACCAGACAAAGTCTCAAGTGTTATGATGAAGGGGAAAGTATTATATAACAAATGTAATTATATGTTGGCTAATGAGAGATCACAAATACCACTCACAGTGAGATATTGTCAGGTTTCCTGTCTAAATTATCTCAGGTAATCTGACAGATATATCATATCATAATTATACCTTGTTAATGAATTAATGAACTATAAAATCGTCATATATTGAATGTGAAATCTTAAATTACCTTTTTTCCAAATATTTAAAACATTTCTTAGCAGTTTAAATGTATAAATGCATTGTATCTGAAAGATTTTTATCCCTTGCCTATGTAAGCATTTTGTTTAATTATGCATAAAAAAAACATGCTTAATACATTTAATAGACAGACAGACAGACAGACAGGCAGACAAGTGTTATACTCACATTGACCTGTTTCAGAACACGGTGTGAAGCTAATGAGTGCTGTCTCAACCTGAAGTATTCACTAAAGAGGCGTTTTTCTATGTGGCATTCTAATATATATTAGTTTCAGACACGATACATCAGAGCTATAACCATTACAAATTCACATTATGGAAAAATCAATTTTTAGTGCCTTTAGATTTTCCCTGACACAGCTGATTTCATTAAATTGGGGATTAGTGCCTCCAAAAATTCATTCACCACTGCAATTATTATCTCTAATACAATTTCTACTTCCATTTGTGAAAGTCGCATTGTTTTGCCAGGTCACTTTCAAAATGCATACAGCAAATTATATGAAAATAGAAGATAAATGTGTGTTTGAAGGTCAAAATGAGTATCGGAACATTTGCTGAGTTTCACAGCAAGTTGTGACTGTGGTTCTTCTTGTTTTGATTGGGTTGAAACGGTCCAGGTGTTAATACAGTTTTTCAACTGTACCAAATTATGCTCTATACTTTTCATTTCATTACTTATTAAAATTAATTTGAAGAGCAAAATTGGAATGTTGAGAATTTTTTGAAAAAGCCTATATTGAAAAGAGATGCTGTTTGTAGTCTATTTCTATACATACAAGTAGATTT